GTTGTGAGAGCTTAAAGAAAAAGAAAATACTGAGAGTAAAGTGAGGCAAAAATAAAGAAATTGAGGCCAAAGAAATTACAATATACTCCTTTTTAATCTTTTTCTTGCATTTGCCTGAAATTACTTTTTCCCTTAAAACTAGCAGTTAAACTCCCACATCAAAACCTCTGGAGTCTTAAGATTATCTGAGAACGAGGAGAATGAAGGTAATTTTACTTTCTTTGTATTTCTGGTCACCTGTACAGTTTTTAAAATGTAGTGATGTAAATAGAAGTCCAAAGATAAAAATATTCCACAGTACTACTCAACAATATCCTCATGGGTCATTGTTGTCAAAATTGAAAAATGTTAAAAAAATTCTTTAAAGAGTGACACCTATGTCAAATTCATAGGCTTTAAATTAAACTGATCCCTTCATGTTATCATATACTGACCCACTATGTCAAGCATTATTGTGTATTTCTGTAAAACATTTAAGGAAATTGAAGGTGTAGATCTTACAAAGGTATTTGGCCTTGATATGACTGCAAACATATTAATTCCAGTAATTTGAAAGATTTCTCTAAGTATTGAGTAATATTTGTCATCTGAGAAAAGAAATACTATCTTTAATTCACCTTAACAGCCATGATCTATAAATCTATCTAGATATAAACTGAGATGTCAATCCTTACAATCCCCCCTTAATTTTTAGCTTTCCCGGGTATTCCATAGGCACAATTACTTAATATAAAACTCCAGGCCCATGTCTAGGTTTAGATTTTACAGTTAGGCTTCTTTTTTTGTCTTAACTTTTTAAAATTCAAGGCATATTAGGCACACCCATATGTGCAATCAGGGATTAAAACTCTAAAAATAAATAAATCTCACCAGTGTAGACAGCAGACTTTCTAAGCATGGTTGAAATGTCATACGCAGTATCATGGCATTACAAATAATGTAATACACAGGTAGAACATGAATAAAATATTTTCTTCTCTAAAATTTAGGAGCCAACAAATAAACAAGTGGCATATTTACAAATGCCATAAGAATAGATATAATATTCATCATGAGAAAAATTCTAAAACAAAATATAATAAATAACTAGAAATGTTCAACCTTTCTCAAATCTATCTTTAATGAAAGATAAATTATCTAAAAATGGGTGTTTTGCATCCATTTCTGAAAGCAATGTCCAGGGTAGCGTGAGTAAAGATTAAAACACATCCAATACAACTTCTATATTTTAGATCCATTGGTTGAGAATTCATATCTAAAGAAATGACTCTGAAAGTTCTTTTAAGCCTTTGAATGATCAAAATTATTGTTATTTATACTTTTATCTGAAATGTATTAACTATGTTTTGGCAAATAGTAATGCATGTCACACCAGACAAAGTAATTTTTAGAGATTCAAGGATAAAAAAGTTGTTAAATCCTCTAATGGACAAAAGCATTGAATGCATGCACATTCCTATTTAATGTGTGAGCTTCTATAAAAGAGTAAACTTCCATAAATGTCTCTTGAACAACTCTCTAACATCTGTTATTGTCAGCGGAAAGCTGTTAATGACATGAAAAGAAACCTCAAAGTATTTATAGGATGGAGACCAACAATTATTAAGTCAGGAGTAGAGATATCTTGAAGTTTTAATGAAGGAAAAGAAAGAGAAAGAGGTAGATTAATCTACAATATGTCGTTAAAACAAATTCAGAAGCCAGGCGTGATGATGCATGTGTGGAAAGCAAGCACTGTAGAAGGCTCTGGCAGAAGGATCATGAGTTGGAGCCCAACCTGGGCAACTCAGCAAGACCCTGTCTCAAAATTTAAAAGATAAAAATAAAAAATAAAAAAGGGCGGGGAGCTAATTATTCATGAGGGCCATGGACTCAACTTCTAGCAACACACACACACACACACACACACACACACACACACACACACGAGACTATACTAAAGACAAAATCTTTAATAGATGATCAGCACCCATCAAAAACTCAAAATGAATTCCTCCATATTTCCTTGCTTTCCTCAAAACTGAATTTGGAAAAAATCACTGTAGCTAACCCTATGTGAATAATGACATGTGTTTCTTGTAAGTAACCCTGGTTTAATACAACAGGACTGTAACACACAGACACACACACAATCATACCTTGAGACATTCCTTTAGTACCCCCACATACCAATACCAATAGCCCACCTGATTTTCAGTAAGGAACAGAAAAATGTCTTCATAAAGTTTCATCTTTCCTAAGTATAATGTGCCTATGAACATTCACACTGATGTATGTAGATTAAATATTTCTTATCAGAAAAGCTATGGATCAGCAGTGCTTTGGATTAATGTTTTTTCAGATTTTAGAATATATATATATATATATATATAGTGAGATATCAGGGAACAAGACTCAATTTTAAACTAGATATTCATTTATTTTTCTTATGTATCTTATGTACCATAGCATGAAGAAATTTCATTCTGTCTATTTAGGGTGCCTGCATTTTGATGGCTACTGATCACATGAGGTAAAACTTGGAATTTTCCACTTGTGGCATCATGTTGGTGCTCAAAATTTTCTGGATTTTGAAGAATTTCTGATTTTGGACTTTCTGATTAGGGATGGTCATAAAATTTCAATAAATTTTTTTAAAATAATGATTTGAGATATGAGCCTAGAATTAGTTAAATTATAGCAGTCTCAAATTTGTTCAAGAAGTTGGTGAGGATGATTGATATCATTCCATAATGCTGCATATATTTTTGTTAAATTTATAGAGTCAATAAGCAAGGTATTAGGTTATTAATGATTTCAGTGATGAGTTTCTTAGTTTGGCTGCAAATCAAGAACAGATTGGATATTCTGCAATACATGCTTTGCTTACTAAATGTAATCCATCAGCAGTCAGAAGAAAATAGTTAAGCAAGCCTGATAGATAAAGAATGTATCCTTTTTGTACAAACAACCAAAACTAGCTGTCGTAGTACCTTATGAATTATAATACCAATCATGTAAAAAGTAGATGACTAGAAGAAGCAGACAATTCTAAGGGCATTTTAAACCCTGTAAAAGTAAGAAAAACAATTTTCCTGTACAGTGACTCTGAAAGCAGAAACACATCTCCCTAGGGGACGTAATTCATCCATTAGTTTGTACAGTCCCAACTGTCAGACAACTGAGATTTCAAGAAAGAAAGGCAAGAATGATTAGTAAGGACTCTGCTAGAGAGCAAAGGGCGTCAAAGGTCAATTTAAGAAGACCTCTCAGGCCACACACACACACACACACACACACACCCCTGCTGCAGCTCAGCTCCACACCTCAGTTCTTGGCTGATAGCCGTGCCAGAGACAGATTTGAGCACTGTGTTGTAGCTGCGATTAGCAATAAGCCTTCTTCCTAGACAACTGCGAGTTTTCACTGAGATTCGTCCGTCCTTATCTCTCTGGAAAGGAATGAAGTGTGATCTGGTAACCAAGAAAAGTCCTTGAGAGTGAACTGTAGGTCTAATCCCAGCTCCTGCTCTCTCTTGCCCTAGGGGGCCACCTAGCAGCCCAAGCGGTGCCAGGCTGGTGAAGTGGGTTTCCACTGTCACTCAGCTCTGTATTCTTTGCCCTTTCAACCCTTACTTCAGTTTTCTGCAGATTACCAGAAGTTCAAGGAAGGGTCCCTCGTGTCCTTGGGGTATATAGTCTGTGCCTTCAAGGCAAAACCCAGCACAGGCAGAAGCGTGACAACCTCCCTTCCTTCCCGTGACCCCAACATCTGCCTCCTCCGCAGGCTCCCCCTCAGAACCGCTGGGTACGGTACGCGGTGCTGATCTTCCCTCTTTTCAACATTCCTCTGTACCTTTTTTCATCTCTCACCCAGGGGATATTTCTTCTCTTGTGAGAAAATTGCCTCATCCTCTCCCCAAGTTGGAGTATGCATCCATTCAGCAGAAAGCACAGGGAATGTTCTACCTCCAGGCCACTGCCCCATGATTTCGGAGCTTCTCAGAACTGGAACTTTGAGGCAAGAGAGGCAGAAAGACATCCAGGGAAATCGGAAAGCCAGCACTTCCTCCCTCGGGCCGAGTTTCCTTCCCTCTTCGGGACCAGCTTGCCCTGGTGGGCATCAGTTCCCGGCATAGTCGCTCCTCCGCCCCTTCGCATCCGCTAAGTCTGAGCAGCACTAAGCTCAGGGGCCCGCCCTCCTCAGCTGCCCTCTCCTATCTACACCCCAAGTCCTCTAGAATACTGGGAGCTTCCTTCTTACCTCCTCATCCGCTCACTAGAGAAGTTTTGTAACTCGGGGGTCTAAACGATTTATCTTCCAAATCAGACAAAGCATCTCTCAAAAAAAGTAGGCGAAGGTCTCCATAAACTTTGGCGCCGCTGACTCTCTCGTGTGTCAGTGGGCGAGTGCGTGAACACACACCTGCCTGCACACGGGCGCAGGTACTCGAGCCGGGCACGCACAGCCTGCCACTGGGCAACTGTTAAGGGCACATTAAACCCACTTGCTAAAGCCTGCAGGGACGCGCGGCGCTGATAGGGGATCAAAAGAGAATTTCAAAATGGGCTGTGGGCAGCAGGGACCAGAAAATGGTGATTCTGAACACACACCCAAGCCTCGGAGTCTGCACCCGGAGCAAGCAGTTCTACCGAGAGGCGCACACTTTAGAGAGCGAGCAGACCTTGGTGGGGTGCGCGGTGTAGGCTTCCCCTCCCAGGTACGTTTCTCTTCGGAACCGACAAGCCCTTTCGTCTCCCGGACTTCTCCGTACGGTCCAAACCAGCCCCGCGCGCTTGAGGACTGGCACCAAGGCGCTCCTGCAGCCCTCAGCTCGGTCTCCACATTGCCCCAGGCAGGTGTGGGGCCCTTGCCCGGCCAAGCAACAAGCGGACTGTCCGCGAAGGATTGGTGTCTCCGCTCCCGTCCCCGCGCGGGTCACCTCTCCCCGCCCCCAACCCCCAAGCTGCCACCGGGCCCCTGGAGCGCAGGGGAAGGAAAAAGCAGAGCGCGGAACTCACCCCCAGCTTTCTGCTGCGGATTTTCACGTAGCCCTGCTTGACTATGTCGTTAAAGTTGGAGGCCATGGCCAGCGCGTTTCGCTTCCCGGAGTCGAAAGCCGCCGACTGCCTCCGGGTCCGCTCAGGTCTCCATGCAGTCAGGCACCTCCAGCAGCCGCGCCGCAGCCGGGTCCGCCCGGAGCTCCCGCCGGCGGGGACTCAGGGTCAGTGGCAGGGCCGCCGCGGACCGGGAACGGGGCCGGGCGCCGCGAGCCGCTCCAGCCCTGCGCGCTCCGAGCCTCACCTTCGCCCCCCGCCCCGAGCCGAGCTGCGCGGCCCGCGCCGCTGCCCCCGGCGGCACCCACAGGCTGGCGCCTCACTTGGCGGCGCACAGCTGGCCGGAGCGCACCATCGCGGCTCCCCGGCGCGGGGGGAGGGGGAGGGACGGCGGGGCGGGCCGATCCCCATGCCCGGCTCCCTCCCCCTGGCCCGCAGGGTGGCAGGGCTGGAGGAGGCTGGCGAGACGCGCTCCATCGCTCGGGCTCTGGCGGGGAGCTCCACGCGCCACCCTAGCCCCGGGCACCGCTCCCACCCGCTCCCTTTGCCCGCAGCGCTCCTCTGGGTGCGGGATTCCTAAAGACAGGGCTCCTCATTCCGGGCTGTTACTCTCCCCGCCGAGCTGTACACCGGGGCAAGGGCGGCGGGGAGACTTGCCCTGTAAGAGGCAAGCGGGAGCGGGACAATTGTTTATTTCAGTAGCGGTGTTTACAATGCATTTTTATTCCTAGGCACACGCCGCCGTTCCAGGTCTTTGCCCCGTTAGGAAGTGTAAATTGTCGCCGAGCCTTTCCTGGTGCACACAAAGAGACCAATCCTGCGCATGTGTCTAATCCTCCTGCAGCCGAAGGGACCTAAGCAATCAGGCGAGGCAGTGGCGAAGACCGACCTGAGTCACTGGATTTATGCATGCGTTTTAGTGAACTATGACTGAAACTGCCTCGTGGCTCTCCATCTACTTGGGAAATGCAGACTGTAGCTATTATCAGTGGATGCATTGAAATGTTCAGCTCTTAAAAACAAAGGAAAGAAGAACTTTCTTCTTTAATGTAGGAACGAACACATGTTTAAAAGTAGATTTTCCTCTATTGTAAAGACATTTTAATTTTTCAAATTATGTCACTTTATAAGATTCAAGGAAAGGGGTTTTCAATTAAGATAAACGTATAAATATTCAAAGATGTAATATCGCTTCCTTCAGTTATAAAATATTTATATTAAATGAATGTCCATAATGAATGTTTCTGCTAATTACCAAAAGGAAGATTTTTCAAGATTTTTATTTAAAATACCTTAGCCCCAATTGGAACATAACCATATTAAGAAAAAAGGAAACTGAATTTATTTGAAGGGAGGAAAACTATGAAAGCTTGTAAGACGTTGTACCTTGTCCTTCACCCCAATTTCATGAGCATCCCAGGGGTGATTTGGTTTCAACCTTAGCAAGAATGTTGGTCTAGATCCTACACAATCCAAAGGAAATCCTGATGTGCCTTAGAAGCAGAGTTCCTAGTCATTCATTTCTGTACTGAGCATTGGGGAAGGGGGGGGGTGCCCACCATGTAAACTACCAGATGCTGGGAAGATACTTCACATGGCAAAGTCCTTTGGGTAATCACTCTGAAATGAGCTCTATATCCAACCTTCCCAGAAAATTTACATAAATCTTCTATCAACTCAGTGTGATTCCCTCTTCTAAATTCCTGAGATACACCTATTTTCTATTCCATTCACTTGTGAGTATTTCACATATATCTTGACTATTGTATTTATTATAAAGATTGTTTCAGACTTGTAAATGCTTTAAAAATCATTTTATTCATCTATCTTGACAACCACAAGTGTTAAATGAAGCATACTTGCCATTTAAGGATTAGGAAACTGAGGCTGAGAAATGTTCTGTAACAGAGCCAGTTTCAACACTGATATTGTGTACAATAACTCATGATCATTAACCTCCACTCTTATTTGTATAATAATTTGCTTCCACAGAAATCAAGAATTCCTTTTGTTTTGGTAGCAATTCTGTACTTAATACATGATGATAAGGTACAGGGGGAAACCTTAACTTTTAAAGATTTTACAATGATTGTGCCTACAATCATGTTAATGAAGGTCTTTATAATACAGTAATATGTTTAAATGATTTAAATATTCTCCTCAATATACTTTTCATTTTTAAATTTCTGATATAGTAATTGTGTGATATAGTAATTCTATAGTAAATTTCTGATATAGTAATTTCTGATATAGTAATTGTGTGTGTGCCTCCCCCTTTATGCTGTTGGTTTGTCACTGGGACATACAAGATTACTTGTCATATATATTTTTTTCCAGTTCTGGATGTGGGTGATTGTAACCTTATAGAATCATTTAATATATTCACCTAGGTAACACATTTCCTATGGTCAGTGCAACTTAGAAATTTGAGTACAGACTTTTTTCAAGAATAACCCATAAAAGATGTTGTGCATATCTCAGTAACTCACAGTGAAAGAAACAAAATGTCTACCTCTCCAACTGACTAGAGGTAAAATGTTGTGAACTCCATCCAGAAATTATAAAATATAAGTTATATACAATCTAAAATTAAAAAATATATAAAATTCCCCACCAAACTTCTACACAATGGTTTTTGTTGCCAAGGATGACCATTGCTTAGATGCATTATTTCATTAGTGATTGTTAAGTTTTGGCTTTCTAATTTTATTTTAATTCTGCATTTATGAGTTGTTGTTCTCTTATTAAAAATAAAACAAATGAACTGAAAGTTTCCCTTGCAATGTATAGGCTTGCTCTGAAGTAGATATCCTATGAAAAAAGCCAGGTACTTGCTTGATTATTAGTTTCATCAACCAGTTTTCAGAAATAGCAAATGGATTCTCACAAACTCAAAATGAGACACTACTCCCTTTGATACGTCATTATGAAAAATGCAGTCCTTGTTTTTGATGCATTTCAATCCCCTGTGGTAATTATTCTTTACAGTGCTTGCACCAGAAGGAGCTGCTTCACTTGATATTTTTGTGTTTTTCAAAGACATTTAAAGACCTTACTCGTCTTGTTAACACAAGGTTTCTCAGACTCATCTTGTGTTTCCAACTCTAGGTCTAGAATTCATTATTTCTCTTGGAGCATGTTGGAGTTTAGATCTAAAATGTTCCCCAAAGCTCTCATGAGTTGAGGAGTAGGGCTTTTGGAAGGTGATTGGATCTTGGGGACTTTGCAAAGTGTTTGTATTAGGCTTATCCAACCATTTTTGGATTTATGGGAGAAAGACAACTGGTCTCATAGGTTTATACAAAATGAATATGCTTCATCCTTAGGAATGCAATCTAAAAGAATTATCCAATACATGTGTCAAACTCAAAATACTGGAAAAACAAAATAAACTCCATTTTACTCATTTTACTTTGTATTATTAATGCTTACTTTTTGGGGAAAAAAACTAAGTTAAGACATCTGTGGTATCCTTCTTCTGCTCCATGAAATTGCCAAAAGGTGTGGCTGTGTCCACCTCTTAAGTCTGTCTGAGATTTACCTTCTCAGGCCACTTTAACCACTAATATTTGAATGTGAATATCAGAACTTATATCCTGTTTTTCTTTTCCTATTCCTAGTGTTTTTCTCAATCTGGTAGTTAATATTTCTGTGTATTTACTAACTTGTACTTCAATCTACTGACCTCACATAGTCACCTGAAGTTTGGGATCTTAATACTTCCACCTTTCATCTGTTGCTTCTCAGATTGACCTTATATCCCTCTACTTTGAGTGAAGAACCTGTTCTTTCCCTAAGACTGTTAATGTTGGTGATTGTGCATATTCTCCACTGTCAAGTATGTGCATGCTAGGATTTAAAAGATTTTTACTTCATCTTTAAGTCACACTGAATATCTTCACAATTCAGTGTATTCCTTTAAGGGGAAAACATGCCAGATGTTTGAAGCTTTTCAAATTTCCACTTTGGCCAGTTCCTAAGGAATTTTTAAAAATTTTATTTTATTAATATGTTTACAGTACATAGAGTTTATAATCACATTGGACAATGGTTATATGTACATACTAAAGCTTGTTTTTTTAAAATCTCATTCTCTCTCTCTCTCCCCTTTCTCCCTCCTCCAGTTCCCCATCCCAAATTTTATATGTGATATTATTAATCTTAGCTTATGTTATGGCACACAATGTTTACATTAATTGGGATTATTGGGTTTCTGGACTTGGCATGTCTTTATTCTCCTTATTTCCCTTTTCCCCTTCCTCACCCCTCACCCCTGTTCCCTTGGACCATTGCCCTAGGGAAAGGGATCTATCCCTTTGTTGCCCACGATCTGTCCTTTATTATTCTCTTTGTTTGTACTTCCTCATTCAGATAAGAGATACCACACCCTAAGTTTGCACGTCTGGTCTGATTTATTTCACTCAATATTATATTTTTCCAGGTACATCCATTTTCTTACAAATTTCCTATTTGTCAATCTTTGTAGTTGAGTACATCCATTATTCAGAGAATAAATTGTTCGATATATGATTGTACAAATCTTGTTAAGAATTTTGATTGAATGATTCTTCCTTTTAGTGGTTTCTAGAAATGTGATTTTCTATAATTTAACTGCTGCTTTAATAATTTATGAATTTGTAATAAATTTATTGGTGATTGGTGAATACTTAACAATATTATTTATATGCAGACAATTACTGGAGAAATGAAGAATCATAATTAATCTTTTCAACTGAATCTATAATTTCTTCATATCTAATTCTATGAATGTTACATTAAATTTTCACTATAATTTATTTTTGATTTTTTTTCTTCCATTTGAGTAGAATTTATTAATGTATTTTATTTTACTATTGCTTTTTGTATTGACATTTATGAATGATACAGCTTTGTCACATATTACGTCCTTCAAAAATTATTTAATATCCTCTCTAATTTTTGGTGTTCTTACCATAAATTATGTCTGTTAAAAATGCTTTTCTTTCGATTTTTAATTGCTACATTTTTAAATGTCTCTTTTCTAATTCATTTACTTTATTTTCAATCTTTAAATTACTTTGTGTGTTTCTTTAAAACACAATGAAGTTTTCCATTTTAACCTATCTTAATGTTCTTTGACTTATAATGTGATAATTAATTTTACTCACACTTATAATGGTAGTTATGCTAGATTTTACCCTTTTTCATTATTTATTACACATTTTCTCAATGCTTCTTGTTTTGACCTGTCTTT